CCTCCTCCTCCTCCTCCTCCTCCTCCTCCTCCTCCTCCTCCTCCTCCTCCTCCCCGCTCTTCTGCGGTCGCCACGCCCCGCCACCACTCGTGCCGATGGCTCCCGGAGCGCTCCTACGCCGCGCCGTCCCCCGCGCCGCCCTCGCCAAGAGCCGCCGCGCCCGCGCCCAGCGCGGCGGAGGGAGGCCCCGGTGGCTCCTGTGCGAGGCGGGGGTGCATCCATAGCCACCGCCTGGGAACCGACGTCCTGGTGCCCCAGCGGGCGGTGGAAATGGATTATATATATATATATATATATATATACTTTAATACAGATACACCTATACGACCGCCCCTTCGTTGAGAAGGAGGCTGTGGGGGGGGGAGAGGGGGGGGAACCAAAATCTGACTCAATCGATCTCACTATCGATCTCACTCGACGGGACACCACGGGACACTTGTCAATCTCACTATCGATCTCACGATCGATCTCAATCAACGGGACACCACGGGACACCACGGGACACCACGGGACACCGCGGGACAACTCTCGATCTCCCTCTCAATCTCACTATCGATCTCACTATCGATCTCACTCAACGGGACACCACGGGACACCACGGGACACCACGAAACACCACGGGACACCGCGGGACACCACATCGATCTCACTATCGATATCACTGTCGATCTTACTCAACGGGACACCACGGGACACCTGTCGAATTCACTATCGATCTCACTCAACGGGACACCACAGGACACCACGGGACACCTCGGGGCACCACATCGATCTCACTATCGATCTCACTATCAATCTCACTATCGATCTCACTCGACGGGACACCACGGGACACCCCGGGACACTGCGAGCCACCCCCGGACGGGCGGGAGGGGGAGAACCATTCGTCTTGATTTCGCCCTAGCAACGGTGGGACACCACGAGACACCACGGGACACCACAGGACACCGCGGGACACCACGGGACACCGCGGGACAATGCGAGCCACCGCCGGACGGGCGGGAGGGGGAGAATCATTTGTCTTGACTTCGCCCTAGCAACGGTGGGACACCACGAGACACCACGGGGACAACGTGGGACATCGCGAGCCACCGCCGGACGGGCGGGAGGGGGAGAATCATTTGTCTTGACTTCGCCCTAGCAACGGCGGGTTCATTCCTCGATTTCCCGGTGGGGGGCCTCCGTTCCACTGCGATTTCACCCCGCAACCTCCGAAATATATATATATATATATATATATATATGTATATACATACACGTATATATATATATATATATGCATGCATGCATGCATGCATACATACATACATACATACATACATGCATACATACATACATACATACATACATACATACATACATACATACATACATACATACATACATGCATACCTACATACCTACCTACCTACCTACATACATACATACATACATACATACATATGCACATATGTATATCTACCTACCTGTGTATGAATATATATATATATAATAATAATAATAACAATAATAAATACATATGTATATGTATACATATATATATATGTATATATATATATATATATATATATATGTGTGTGTGCTGGCCCCCGGGGGCCCGGCTATATTCCTATTTCTATATTTTTATAGGGCCGGGGAGCCCACACCCCAGCGCCCCCCCCCCCCAAACGAATTTCGCCTCCTCGGGCCTGTCTTGCGCCTTGCTGTGGCCATCCTGGGGTCGTCTTGACACCCTCCGAGAAACCGAAGTGTACAAACGAGAAGGCCGAAAATATTGTTTCTTAACTGCGTTTACCATGCTTTTCCACTCTCCGGGCCCTGTTGCGCCAGCCTTGGGCCTCTTTGGGGCTCGCCTGGGGCCTCATCTGGAGCCGTATTGAGGCATCTGGACGCCTCAAGAGCCAATTGGAAGCGACAAGGCGAGAAGACCAAAAACCTTGATGATTTTCCTGCATTTGTCTATCTCTGGGCCCCCCTCTCCGGACCCTAGAGGGCCGGGGAGCGACCCCCCCCCGCCCTCCCCAAAAGACTTTCGAATCCTTGGGCCTGTCTTGCGCCTCCCTCTGGCCGTCCTGGGGTCGTCTGGACGCCCCCCGAATCAACTGGAAGTGCAAAAGCGAGAAGGCCGAAAAAATTGCTCGCTACTACGTTTCTCTGCTTCTCCCACTCTCCGGGCCCTGTTGCGCCAGCCTTGGGCCTCTTTGGGGCTCGTCAGGGGACTCAGTTGGAGACGTCTTGGAGCTGTCTCGACGCGTCAAGACCCAATCGGAAGCGACAAGGCGAGAAGAACAAAAACCTCGCTTTTCCAATGATTTTCCTACATTTGTCCACTCTTGGGCCCCACTCCCCGGGTCGAGTTGCGCCATCTCCTGGCCCTGTTGCGCCAGCCTTGGGGCTCGCCTGGGGTCTCATTTGAGACGTCTTGGAGCTGTCTGGACGCCTCAGGAGCTAATCGGAAGCGACAAGGCGAGAAGACCAAAACCCTTGCTTTTCCGATGATTTTCCTGAATTCGTCCGTCCTTGGGCCCCACTCTCCGGGCCCAGTTGCGCCAGCCTTGGGTCTCTTTGGGGCTCGTCTGGGGACTCATCTGGAACCGCCTTGGAGGCATCTAGACGCCTCAAAAGACAATTGAAAGCGACAACAGGAAGCGCAAAAACGAAACGGCTGAAAACCTTGTATTTTTTCGATGGGCTTCTTGGTTTATTCTGATCTCCGACACTCCCGGCTATATATTTCTATTACGCGGGCCCCGAATCGGACCCCCCGAATCCCGCGCCCCCGGGGCCCTGCAGGAGGCCCCATCAGGTGCTCCTGAAAACCCTTGCTGGGCCTAGGCAACGGGCCCAAATCGGTCAGGAGGGCGGCCGAACGACCCCCCGAGGGCCCCAAGAGGCCCCAGACACCCGCGAGACGCCCGAAGACGACCCAAAGACCCCCCTAGATCTCTAAAGGTTTTTGCATGATTGTAGGAATGCCCTGTTCTTCGGTCTTCTGGGCGTGCGAGACCGCCTGGGAGGCTCGAAAATCGGACCAAAACCATCCGAAAGGGCTTCCAGGCAATCCAAGAGAGCCCCAATACGGCACAACAGGGTTCCAAGATGGCCTACGAGAGCCCCATGACGGCTCAAGATGACCCCAAGACATCCTCCGAAGCATTCCTATCGTGACCTGGTCGTTCAGGGAGACCGCGGTTGGTGGCAGGGTGGCCCCAGAGGCCCCCAGAAGACGCCCAGGAGGACTCCAGGCCTTAAGAAAGCCTGAGCAACTTCCCTGAGGCCCCCAGAGGCAGGAGCCTCCGCAAAAAAGCCGAGGAGGATGGGGAAGAATTCGCAGGGTAGGGCGAGAATCAAGAAAAAGAAACATGGAGAAAAGAAAACCAATAACATTATTAGAATGGCGATGGCGGAAAATGCAACAAAGAGTTATCGCTAAATCGTCGGTTTGACCTATTCCTGCCATTCCGCCTGCACGCCAAGCTTCAGGGACCAAGGTGCATGGCGCGAAGCGCCAATACAGTCTCGTGTGTACATATATATATATATATATATATATGTATATATATATACCCATATCCATATCCATATCCATATCCATATCCATATCCATATCCGCCGCCTGCTGAGGTCCCCGAAAATTGAGCCTCCAGGCGGCGGTCGTGCATGAATTCCCGCCTCGGATCCTGGCCGGCGCCGGGGGCCTCGGGCTCGGCCTCGACGCGCTCCCGGATGCAGTGCCACTCCTGGGAGGGCGCCAGCGGCACGCCTCCCTGAGATCGGGGGCGGCTTGCAGCTCTCTCCCGCCGAGCGTCCTCTCTCGCCCAGCCCGGGGCCCCGGGGCCGTCGCAGCTCGATCCGGCTCGAGAGATGCCGCAGGTCGGGGGCGGGGTCTGGGGCTCCGGTCGGGCTCTCTTCGGCGAGGCTGCCGTGCTGCTCGCACGACGTCGCAGCTCGGGGCTGCACGGATCCTGGGTCCCGGGTAGGAGCCGAGCTCTGCACACCGACGCTCTTCTGGCCCCGCACGGACACTCGCACAGGAGAGCGGGTCCTGGTGTAACTACGGGATCCTGCTTCCGACCTGGGCCCCGGATCGGTGCAGGCCAGGGGTGCAGTTGGTGCCCTGCGCACTCCCAGTACTGGCCCTCGTGCTTCTGGTGGAGCGCGCCTTCCTGCGGCCGCCCGGTGCCCCTGCGCTTGGGGAACCACCTGCCGCACCCGGGGTGGTACGCGAAGCCCATGCAGCCGGGGTCCCGCTCGGCGGCCCTCCGCATGGACTCCAGCGTGCTGCCCTCCTGCTCCGCCTGCAGCGCGGGCATGCCCTCGCCCTCCTCGTCGGGCAGCCCCGCCCTGACCAGCCACGTGCACCGCGCCGCCTCCGCCGCTGCCCCTGCCTGCGCCGCGGGAACCGCCAGGGTGGCCTCGACAGCGGTCTCCGCAGCCGCCACAGCGCTTGTCAAAAGGCGCGAACGCATCAACGCCTGCCGAATCGCCTCGGCAGCCGGTGCGGCGTGTGGCGCCCCGGGGGGCCTGGCGGGCGCAGCGGGCACCGCGGGTGCGGCACGGTGGGCGTCCTCCGACTGCACCGCGGCCAGTGCCGCGGGAGGCGAGACCACGGCGTTCGCGCGCGAGCCGCTGGCCTGGCGCAACAGAGCGTGCTCCAGCGACTCCCGTCCGCACTGACGGGCGACCTCGGCGGCCGTGTGCCCCGCCGCGTTTCTGGCCGCAGTGTCAGCTCCAGCACGCAGCAGCAGGTCGATGCAGGCACCCAGCCCGGAACTGACTGCCACATGTAGCGGCGAGCAGCCGTCGCTCCTGGCGGCATTGACACAGGCACGGTGCTGGATCAGGAGGGCAGCCTCGGCGTGCAAATTGGCGCCCACCGCCAGGTGCAACGGCCGCTCCCCGCGCAGCAGCACCGACTCGACATCTGCACGGGACTCGAGTAACGAGCGCAGCGCCACGACGCGATGCTGCGCAGCCTGCGGCAGCGGACCCAGGCATGTGTGCAGGGGTACCGTGCCGTTCCTCGCACGGGTGTTGATGTCGCCCTGGGCTGCCACCAACGCCGCAATCGGGGAGCCCTCTCCGGGCCTCCTGCTCATGGTCGCCTCGGTCACGACCGCCATGTGCAGCGGTGTCACCCCGTCCCTGCGGGAGGCCTCGACGGATGCCCGGTGCATCAGCAGAAACTGCATGATGCGCGTGCTGCCGGCCAGGACAGCCATGTGGAGGGGCGAGTGCTCGTCTGGGGTACCCAGCTGGGGCAGGTCTACGTTTGCCCTTGCGCGCAGCAGCTCCTCCACGACGGCCGCGGAGCCCGACTGCACGGCCAGGTGCAGCGGCGTCTCCTCGCGCTCCGAGGTGGAGTCTACGCACAAGTTCGCCGTCAGCAGGACCTTCACCACCTCGGCGTTCCCGCCGAACGCGGCCGCGTGCAGCGGCGAGCGGCCGCGGTAGTTCCGTATCCCCACGCCCTCAGGGTGTGGTTGCGTGCTCGCGCCCGCTATCAGCTCCCTGCAGGCAGCCACGTGGCCGCGCATCGCGGCGAGGGACAGCGCAGTGTCGCCGTCGTCCTTGACCGCGTACAGGTCGCACCGGTTTTCCAGAAGCGCCCGCAACACTTCCGCATGGCCCTGCCAGGCCGCCTGGTGGATGGCCACGTCGCCACCCACCATCCGCCTCTCGGTGTCCGCACGAGCTTCCAGCAGCAGCCTCGTCACGTCGACATGCCCGCGGAAGGCGGCGTAGTGGAGCGCGGTGGAGCGGTTCCGCGAGGGCACTTGGATCGGGTGTCCGCGCGCGAGCAGCATGGCGGTGAGCCGGACGTGCCCGCACCACGCGGCCACGTGCAGCAGCGAGTCGCCCGTGGCAGAAAGCTCCTGCCTCAGCCGCTCCCCTGTCGCCGAGCCCAGCAGCTGCTCCACGACGCCGCACTCGCCCTCTCTCGCGGCCCGGAAGACCGGCGAGTCCTGGGAGCCTGCGGCGCCGCCGGCGCCAGGACCCATCTGAGCCATCAGCTCGGGGTTGGACTGCAGGTGCCGCACCACCACCTCCATCAGGTGCGGATGCTGAGCCGTAATGTGGACGAGCTCCTCGTTGTCCATCCCACCGAGGTCGGCCTCGCCAACAACGTCCCCACTTTGGCCGCGCAGCAGCGCCAGCAAGTCCTCGCGCAGCGTGGGACTGAGGTGCAGGATGTTCATCAGGCTGGCCTCGCTCGTGTTGATGGTAGTGATGGTTGTGCCCGGCGGCATCGGGCCCTCGTGGCCGCCAGGGACGCCGCCCTGAAGGACTGCGACCGGGATCGTAACACGCCCAGCGGGCGTCTGCACCGTGACTGTCGGCACCGCGCCTGGTAGTGGCTGCCCGTGCTGGTTCTGGGGTGCTGCCGTCCGCACGGTTTCCTGCGGCTCTGGCTCCCACGGGGGCTGCGGTGGCAGCCCATGGCGCTCGCGCCACGCCAAGATCTGCGCCCGCATGCTGTGGTTAGGCCGGAGCACCTTGTCCGTTAGCTCCTGCCCCGTCTTCGGGGACGTGCCGTGCTCCTCAAACCATTGTGCAATCGCCCTGCGCTCGTACGTGTGGCCGTCGGAGGTGATCACCGGTTGCTCCATGAGCTCCTTCGTGATGCAGCACCTGAACTCGTCGGGCACTTCGGGCATCTGCCGTGCAGGAGGCGCGACCGACGACGACGACGACGAGGAGCCACCCGGCGCCTCGCGCACGTTCTCGGAACGCACCTTCAGCCGCTCCGTGCTGCCGTCGACCAAGAACTCCCAGCGGCTCGCCTGCGAGTCCCACGCCAGCAGCGTCCCGATGCGGCCGTTGAGGTCGGGGCGCCGCGCCAGGTCGTGCAAAACCGCCCGCGATCCCGCCGACAGCCCCCCCACAGAATGCGACACCCGCGCCGTGGGCGCCGCCGACGCTGCCGCCGCCGACGCGCTGACCGGCGACTGCGACTGGTCATTCCTGTCCTCCGCCTCCAGCGGCTGCAGCACGCGCACCGCCGTCCGCACGGGCGCCTCCTCCGCCGCGGCGGCCGCCCCGGCGTGCTGCCTCGCCCCTCTCCGAGGGTCCTGCGGCAGGGCGTCAGGGCAGGCTGCAGAGGCCACGGGGGCACACGGCGCCTCTTCTCCCTGCGCGGCCGCGCCGGTGCACGGCGAGCCGGCTGCAGAGCGTTGCAGCTGGCGGAGGCTGCGCCGAAGCCGGGCCAGATGGCCAGCGCGCAGCTGCACACAGGCCAGCAGCTCCTCAGTTTCGGCGGCGGACAGGTCGCCCAGCAGGTCCAGGCTGGTGTAGCCGTGCAGAGCAAGCCGCGTCCCCAGCATTGGCAGCCGCTGCGCCTGCAGCCAGTCCACAAGTTCAGGATCCAGCGGCTCGGCCACCCGCTCCTCCATCTCCTTCGGGATCCCGCATCAAGAGGACATGTCACGTCAAGCTTCAGGCTTTTAGGCAACGCAGTGAGTGCTGAAGAACATTCTCTGGTGTGCTCACAGACGCGCTTCCTTTCCACAAGGCCCCTGGTGTCAAACCGCAAAAACAAATAGCTGCGGGCCTTCTGCCTGTAGTAATCGTCGCCCTCCTTTCGCCCCGAAAGGCCCCGCAAACATATCTGAAGATACCCCCCACACACGATTCCCCCAAGGACCACCACGGGACAGGCCCAGGGCCAGATCCCCCCCAGGGACGCCCCCCAGAACGACCCAAGACCTGGCACACGACGTCCCCATAACGGCCCCGAGACCCGCCCAGACGGCCCCGAGATCCCCGAAGCGGTCTCACAACTTCTCTCCGAGAGAGCTCGGGGACCCACAGCACAGCACAGACGGGCCACAGCCCGAAGCACGGCACCGCACGGCACGCACCACGGTGCGGCACAACAATGTGGTGAACATGAGCTTGCTGACCATACTGCTGCGATACTGGGTTGGGGGGGAGGGTCAGCGACTCGGAGAGCACCACGGGCTTAGCATGGCACCATGAAGCTCCAAAGGACGCCACCAGACGACACAAAGCAACACACGACGGCACGGCCAAGCACGGCACGCATCCGGCACGGCATTCATACGACACGGCACGGTGCGACACGGCACGTGCCATGCTGGTGCCCCCTGTCGTGCCTTGTTGTCAACTCGTGAAAATGTTCCGCAGGGCGCATGCTGTGCCCTGTCATGCCACGAAGTGCCGCGCCATGATGACAATGCGATGTGCTGTGCCGCCGTGCTCCCACGCCGCGGCTACGCGCACAAAGATACCAGCGGTACGGCAGGCCACAGCGCGGAGCCTGGGCACGGGGCGGCACGGCACTGCCCGGCACCGCCAGCCTGTCAGATCGCATTTCGGCAACCGCGGGGCCCCTCCCCAGAAGAGCCAGAGGACCCTTTGTGGCATTCGCTGCTCGGGGAAGCCTGGCCCCGAGTGAACAAAACTTGGTGACCCTCGCGCTATCCTCCTCGGAGCTTCTCGTCGGCGCCCGCTCGGGCCACAGCCGCCTTAGCACCACCAGCGCTGCGACGCCAACCGCCCCGGAGACGACGCCTATGACTGCAGGTTTGCTGCACAAGGTCGCCATCGAGAGCGCGTCCGTGCTGCGGCAGCGGGCAAGCGCCCCCGAACGAGACCGCGCAGCGCGCTGCAGCCAAAACGGTCACAAATGGAAGAAGAGAAATGAGAGGAGGGGCAGAGGAAGATTAGGAAGAGTACGGCGAAGACGAGGGCGAGGACGAGGGCAAGGAGGAATACCAAGAGGAGCAGGAGAAGGGGGAGGGAGAGAAAGACTACGTCAAATAGAGCCATGGACCACATAGACGGCACCATCAATCTCTTCTAAAAAAAAACCATGCTCTGTGAGCCACTCCGTGAAGCCTAACATTCGAAGACCTCCCACGAGGAAGCGCTGGCTTGGGACCCGTCGCCGATTTCAAACCTATCCGCGCGTCTTAGATGTCAGGGGGACCCGACTGGTGGCCTCTCTTCCCCTCGAACCCAAAGTCTGGATCACGTCACGTCGGAACAACATGCTCAAATCCAGTTCGAATGAACGCGCGGCTCGCGAGCCTTTTTCGCACACGGCCTTACCGTATTCGTCGCGCGGATATGCGCAGACGCCCGCCTCCCAGATCCCACGTACGTACCTACGTTGCGTCACTACTTACCCGCACACGTTACCACATAGCACAAGCGTGGAACATTGACTAATTTCTCAAAAATCAAAGTCAATATAGCCACGCATCCTCTTTTAGTAAACATAAAAGGCAAGATGGGCGCGGACCACAAGACGGAGCCTAGAATTATCACAGCCTGCCGCACGATAGGCACACGAGTCACAGTCGTGAGGGTATACATTCAGTGAGCGGCACCCCTGCTTGACATGACATCGGAGATCAAAATCGCGCCCCGAAAACGCGCGATGGCCCCGCATTCGGGCAGGAAAAGGACCGTTCAGCAGGGCGGAGCCTCGGGCGCTTAAAACGATACGAGTTGACCCCGGAAAGGCATCGGCACTGCGCGTGGGGCAATGGCGGGCGAGTAGGGGGAGGAACCCACGCCACTGAGGGGCGCACCGTCCACATCCTTACCCGACCGGGCTCGCCGCGCCGCCCGCGGCCCCAGCGGGGCCCGACGTGGCCCGACGTCAAGGACTCCTCAAGGGCGCCCTCGTGGAAGACGTCGTCGTGGAAGTCGACCCCAGGCATTGCTGCGCAGATGACGGCGCCAGGGCCGTCCAAAGAATCTGCCGAGGACAAGGGCGCGGCAGCCAGCGCCACCGTGCACGCATCGATCTCGGAGCCGATCATGTCTGGCTCCAACAGGAGGGAGGCGTGCTCGAGAGGGTCGTCACCAGCAGGCATACCTCCGCCAGGGTCGCCAAGTAACATTGGTGGCGTCTCACCACTTGCGTCAGGAAAGACGGGCAGACCAGAAGCGTCAGCATGAGCATCCTCCGCACCCCGTGGCAGTCCGTCCACATCTGAAGCAAAATAAGCGTGCGGCGCGCAGGCGAAGGATTGCTCCAAACAATCGGGAGCGGCCAAGAGGGGGGGGTCCAAGAGGGGGGGGTGCAAATCATGACCGGCGGCATGTGCGCGGCCCAGCGGGGGGGCCAGGGATGTAAAGAAATAAGAAGAGGCGCCATGAAATCTGGGGAAATATCATGGCCCACGTCATGATATCCACCCCCCTAGTCATCACCCCCCTCTTTTCCGCCCCCGACACAATCGACGCGGTAATGGCTGCTGTAGATGCCCCCGTCCGGGGAAGCACGAGCGCGGTCAGGCCAGCAGAGCGCATGAAATCCGAACGGGGCCTCCACCAGATCACGCCGGGTGGAGGTGCGCCGCAGCCCCTGCCGCCCCAGTGGTGGAGGGGCCCTGGGACACACCAATAAATACACACGAACAAAAAGATGCCCTATATTTTCCTATGTTTGCTGGGTGTTTGTCTTCCCCACCACTTCCCATATTTTCCCACATTTTCTGGGGAGTCGACGATTAATTGTGTCTGTGTGTTTTTTCCCCTCCTGACAGTGGTGGAGGCGGTCGAGGGGGTCACCAAGCAGTCGAAGGCGCCACCGAGAGCGCTCATCACCTAGCCCCGAGGCGCAACGCGGCGAGTAATCCGACGGCGAAGCGCTTCCCGAACTTCGGCATTCGAGGCGGCGCGACCCCCTGAGTCGAACCCCGCTTCGGCTGGATCGCCGACCGGGGTGGAAGATCCCGCGTGAAAATTAAACACAATAAAGCGTGAAAACGCCCATGAGCACCAGCAAGACGCAGTACCGCCACGCGTCCAGGGAATAGACCTTCGAAGCAAACCTGTGGCTAAACTGTTTCAAAAAGTCTCCCCGCACCGCGATGTCGACCCCTGCAAGCGCAGCCGTGGGGCCCGGAGACCACCGCGACGTACATCCCGATGTTCTCGCTCATGACTTGCGTCGGTCGTCCGCGCCATGAGCTTCCGACCAACAGCCCACATCACGGGACACCATGGGCCGATGCACACACTTGGCCGTATCGCGATGGCGAGCGGGGCCCAAAGAAAACAGAGCATGAATGTTCCAAGAGACCCTCCTCCTCCTCCTCCTCCTCCTCCCCCTCCTCCTCCCCCTCCTCGTCCTCCGTCCTCGTCCTCCTCCTCCTCCTCCTCCTCCTCCTGCCTCCTCCTCCTCCCCTCCTCCTCCTCCTCCTCTCTCCTCGTCCTCCTCCTCCTCCTCCTCCTCCTCCTCCTCCTCCTCCTCCTCCTCCTCCTCCTCCTCCTCCTCCTCCTCCATGGAAGGCTTGCCGGGGCACCGCCCCGCAGAAGGCCTGGCTGGGCTCCCCCCCGCGGGGGGCGCCCAGCAGGGCATGGTCCTGGCAGGGTGGGTTGTGCCCGCTACCTCCTCTCCCCGGGGGCCAAGGCCCAGTCTGCCCAGAACACTCGCCAGCCGCGTCCGGAAAGCGCTGGATGGTCCCGGATCTGCGTCTGAGAGGGCGGCAAAATGCCTCCGTCTCACGCGGCCGCTCCCGGCGGCGCCGGCGGCCATCCTGAGGGACGCGGGCGGGGACGCGCTCTCTGCAGATGGCTCCCGGCACGCGTGGAGCAATCAGCTCCAGGAGCAGACGCAATGGCCAGGGCCGTGGGATCCTGGCTTTCACGCCCAAGTTTCCTCTTCCCTCCCAACAGCCCTGGGGAGGGCGAGGTCCCACAGAGGCACGGGACCTTTCGATCAACCAGTGGGGGAAGCGGAGGTCAGGGCCGCTCTGGGACGCATGGGTACCACCGGAGCCACGACGCCGGACCTAGTTCCGCGACTTGTGTTCCTCTTGGGGGACATTCCCCTGGATCAAGCGGCGTGGCTAGCTCAATGCCTCATGGGCCCGGGGCATCTTGCGGTGAGGCCAGAGGGGTGGCGCGGGAGCTGCGCAGTCCCGCTCCACAAAGAGGGCCCGGTGGACCTCCCGTCGTCGTTCCGCCTGATCATGGTGAAGGCGCAGCTGGGGCTCATCCAAGAGTCCGTGGTCCACCGACGCCTTTTCGGGCACCTGCAGGACTCGGTGCTCCCAGGACAAAGTGGGTACGTTCGGGACGTCGGTGATGCTCACCTAGCACTCCACGAGCTCGCCGCGGCAGCGGCGGCGCAAGGACGGCCCTTATGGGTCATCTTCAGTGACCTTCAGAAAGCGTTCCCAAGAACGTGGCGGGAAGGCCTACTACACCGCCTCCGGGAGCACGCGGGTGTCTCGGACGGCATGCTGGCCCTCCTGGGAAGCATGTTTGAGAAGGACACCGTCCACGTGAACTTCAACGGCGTGGAAACAGTCTCAGTGACCCAGGGGATTGCGGAAGGTGGTACTGTGGGGCCGCTCACCTTCCCCTCGTACATGGACTCGCTTGCCCAGGACTTGATGTTCGCGGGGTGCGGCGTGGGGGTGGGCATTCGCATGCCGCCGACCTGGTCGGGCCATAGATGGACTGGCACTGGAGAGCCGAACCAGAGTCAGGTGATGCAATTGCTGCACGCGTTGGCAACAAGGGCGCCGCTGCCTCCTCCGAAGGCGCTGCTGCAGGACCCAGCTCTGGAAGCCTCCGCCCTCGCTGCCCTGGACGCCGCCGCCCCCAGGCGGATCGGAGCCCTCCTCCACGCGGACGACCCAGCCCTGCTGGCATCTTCCCGGGGGGGGGCCGGACGGTCCCTCCAGGTCCTAGCCGATTGGGCGTACAGGTGGAAAGCGTCCCCGCACACCAAAGCCTCCAAGCACGCTGTTGTGGCGCATGGCTCCCAGGCTGCGCGAGCGGCTGCCGCCAGCGCCCCCCCTCTTCTGCTGCCGCTGCGCGGCCTCCCGCCGGTGCAGGTCGACCTAGCCCCCAAGCGCAGATGGCTTGGCCTTCAGTGGCCTGGTGATCTCCGCCTGCTTGGAGCACTGGAGGCGCGGCTTGCTGTGGCCTCTGCGCAGTGTGCGTCCCTGGCGGGGCACGTGGCGGCAGGTGCTCTCCCTCTGGCCGCTGCGGCGTACATCTTCGACATGGAGATTGACGCCTCCCTGCGTTTCGGGCGCTGGCTCCTGGCCACAGCCGAGGGTGCCCTTGAGCGCTTGGACTCTGCTTACGAAGGGTGGGCCAGGGCGCTCCTGGGGAGCCATCCCTGGCGTGATGGCGCTGTAGCAGTCTCAGAGCTAGGTTGGTCGCTCTCCGGTGGAGCACGGGCCATCCTTGACATCGCCTCCCGCAGAGCTGGTCTGTGGCTCCTTCCGGACGGAGACCTCTACAAGGGGACGTTTGTGCACGGCCATGTATCTCCAGGGCGCACCTGGGCGATTGTCTCGCTGGCGCTGTTGGAAGAGTGGGGTCTGCCGGACTGGCCCGCCTGGGTCGGCGCTGCAAGGGGGGAGTCCGCCCTCCCGGCGTACAAAGCACACATCCGAGACACCCTCAAGGCCAGATGCAGCGCAGCCCTACGCCTGCGACTGCACACGCGGGTCCGAGTGCCCGCCCCGCTTTCGCTCGGCCCAGTGCCCCGGGATGACCTTTCCACAGCGCTCTCTCTGCGCCTGCCCAGCACGGCCCTCTTCGGCCAGCGCTCCCTCAGTCGGCTCCGGTGCCAGCTCCTTGTCCTGAGCCAGTCAGCAGGAGTCCGCTCGAGGGCCCGACGGCAGGTCTGTGTCTGCTGTCAGGGGCAGATTCTCAGCCCCATGCTGCATGTCCTGGGGAGCTGCAGCAACACTGGCGTGGCGAGAGCGGCATTCTGGGCAGCGCGCGGCTCCCCGCCTCCGCCGTCCAGGGAAGCAGCGGTCCGCGAGATCCTCTCGGTCCGCCCAGGGGAGGCCGGATTCGCGGAGGCAGCCACCCTCGCCAGAGACATTGACCTCGCTGTGTCGAGGTTCTGGGGCCCAGTGGCGGACTAAAAGCTCGCCTTTCCTCCGCTCGGCCCGTCCTCCTTGCCTGCGTCCCACCTCCTCTCCCTCCCTCCGGAGCCGGAGGGTCGGGCAGAGCCAGGCTGGGCACGCTGAGGTTCAGGTGGATTGGCCCCTCCCCCCTCCTCTCCCTGGGAATGGCTCTCCCCCCCTTCCTTCCGACGCCGCGCCACGCATCTGCGCCATGCACTGGCAGGGCCTCGGTCGGAAGGTCATGCAAGAGCTCCAATCGGAGAGGCCCTCCGGCTCTCCTCCGATTGGCCAATTCCCCCTCCACGGCCAGGCTTTTCCCCGACCCCCCACTTCCGAAGACGGGACGGTGCTGGGGAGGGCGGGGCCTGTAGCCCAGCTCCACCCACTCCTCCCCCTTCAGAATGCGGAGGCGGACTCAAGCTTGGTCGGCGTGGGGTCGCGCACGACGGCCCTCCCGGGCCCCAGGCGCCCCCCACGAAAAGGCGGCCACGCATGAGGCCTCCGACCGCCTCCTCTGGAGGACCAGTCCAGTCCTCCTCCTCCTCCTCCTCCTCCTCCTCCTCCTCCTCCTCCTCCTCCTCCTCCTCCTCCGCTCCCTCCGCCCCCTCCGCCCCCTCCGCCGCCTCCTCCTCCTCCTCCCTCCTCTTCCTGCCTTTCCTCCTCCTCCTTCCACCTCCTCCTCCTCCTCCTCCTCCTCCTCCTCCTCCTCCTTCATCCTCCTTCCTCCCTCCTTCCACCTCCTCCTGCTCCTCCTCCTCCTCCTCCTCCTCCTCCTCCTCCTCCTTCTCCTCCTCCTCCTCCTCCTCCTCCTCCTACTGGGTGCACGGGGAGCGCTGCAGGAGCAACCATGCAAGAACCTCGGGAACTGCGCCCCTTCCGAGCCTCTCAACGGCACGCCACGTCATGGCCCAAGGAAGCCCTGGCCATGCATGGTGGCGGTGGGGTAGCTCCTTGCTCTGAATCCACTGTTGGCGATCGTGGGGCCCGACAAGCGGCAATGCGGAGATCAAAACTAATTAAACCTTCCCCACCCCCCCACCCCAAAAAAAGAAACGAGCCAGGACTGAACACACATCAATCCATCGGACGTCTGTCGGCGGCGAGCCCCGGGAGGAAGTGAGAGGGGGCAGGCCTTCCGAGAAGGCGGCGGGGCCTCTCAGAAGCACTCGCGCCTTCTGAGAAGCCTTCCGAACCTTCTCCGAAGGCCAGACAAGCATCTGAGAAGCCCTCTCGCCTTCTGGAATGCCACGCCCGCTCCCGAAAAGGTCTGCCCCCTCTCATCTCGCCCCCCTGGGCTCGCCGCCGAGTCTGCGCCTCCTCGCAACCGGAAGCCGTCGTCCCCCGCCGTCGCCCGTGGCGAGAGCCCGCGGGCTGAGCCCCCCGCGCGTGCACGAGGTCGATCGCCGCCTGGCGCGTGGGGCGCCAGCGGGGTGCGTCGGCGGCCACCTGGCGGCGCAGGCGCGTCTGGGCGAGAAGGGCGGAAGCGGAGGCGAGGGCGGAGGAGGCGGAGGAGGAGGAGGCGGAGGGAGGAGGAGGAGGAGGAGGAGGAGGAGGTGAAAGGCGGGAGGAGTTTGGGGAGGAGGAGGAGGAGGAGGAGGAGGAGGAGGAGGCGGAAAGAGGAGGAGGAGGAGGAGGAGGAGGAGGAGGAGGAGGAGGAGGAGGAGGGAGGAGAGGGAGGACCAGGCAGAGGAGGCGGGGCGGGGGAAGGGATGGTGATCGTCGTGATTGTGGTGATCGTGGCCGTGGTCGTGATCGTGACCGTGGTGATCGTGGCCGTGACTGTGACTGCTATCCCGCCATCGTCGTGATCGTGGCCATATTGTCGTCATTCTCCGGCGCCCCCCCTCGCCCCCCCCCTCGCCCTTGCCCCCGCTCTGGCTCCTGCTGCTCCCTCCTCCACCGCGTTCTCCTCCACCTCCTCTGCGGGCGAGGTTCGGATCCATGTCCACTGCGCCTTGGAGATTCGGGCTCCCTCCCTCGGAAAGCAGAGGCGCAGTGGGCATGGGTAAACATCTGGCCCTTGTAAAGGCTAGACTCGTATCCATCTCAGCCGCGCCGCGGCCTTTTGGCGCCGCTTCCCAGAAAGTCCAAGGCACAATGGACGTGGATACGAATCCTGCCCGCACCGCGGACGGCCCAGGTCCCCCAGAGGGCGCAGGCGAAGTTGCTGCAGCAAGTGACGCGTTGAATCAGGAGCGCGGGGCCCCGCTGTGGCCCCGGCCGCGCCTGGGTGCACGAGGGGTGCTGGAGGCACAACCACGAGGAGCCCAGGGAACGGCGAGCCCCTCACGGACCCGCACTGCTCCTTCTCCGCCCTGATGGCACCCTGGGCCAAACGACTTCTTGGCGCCCCGCGACGCGGCCTCGCGCTCTCGAATCCGCCCCCTCCCAGAGAAGGACGCGCTCTCCGGCCCAGGCCGCGCGACGCGCGGAGCACGGCTCGTCGTCGCGGCCCATTCGGGTCACCCCGCCGCGCAAGGGGCCACCTCTTTAGCCCACTCGGCGTCCGAGCCCCTCCAGCTACCGAGCGGACGCGGGACGGAGAAAAAAAAAAGAAATGAGAAAAAACAAAGAGCGCGTGCGGGCCGACGAGCGGGCTCCCGTGGGAACGTGACCGTGCGGCTGCCCCGTTCGGGCGGCCGAGTGGGCTCAGAGGAGGAGATGAGGAGGAGGAGAGGAGGAGGAGGAGGAGGCAGGAGGAGGAGAAGGAGGAGGAGGAGGGAGAGGAGGAGACGGATGAGGAGCAGTAGGAGGAGGAAGCAGGAGGAGGAGGCGGCGAGAGGAGGGTGGGCGCGGAAAGAGCGGTGTGCAAGGGCAGGAGCAAGGGCAGAGGCACAAGCAGCGGCACCAGCGAGGTCGGCAGCATGCGCGGCAGCGGGAGTAGGGAACAACCAGGAGAATGGGAAGAGGAGAAGCAGCAGCAGCACCAGCAGCAGCAGCAGCAGCAGCACCAGCAGCAGCACCAGCAGCAAATGAAGAGGAGGAGCAGGAGCAGGATGGGCAGACCACCTGCGGGCCCCAACGCCCAGGCCCCGGGAGCCTGCAGGGGCCGCCTTGGAGCCTGGCGGGCTCCTCAACAAATCAAGGCAAAACAGGCCCAAGTGTAGTGGAGCCCCTCCCCTGGCGAGGAGGCGACGACGACAACGACAACGACAAGGACGAAAAGGACGACGACGACGATAACGACGAAGACAACAACGACGACGACGACGACGACGACAACGCCAAGGACGACGACGACGACGACGACGACGACGACGACGACGACGACGACGACGACGACGACGACGACGACGACGACGACGACGACGACGACGACTGAGCCCAGGGGCAGTGGCCGGGGGCCGCCGCGTCTGTGTCCTCGGCCGCCTCGGCCGCCTTGGCCGCCTCGGCAGCCGGTTCGGCGGGCTCGGCTGGCGCGAGCGGCTTCCACGCCACCGGCTTCGGCTGCGCAGCCTCGCGGGCCACCGCGGGGGTCGCCGGGCGAGCAGGGCAGGGAGCGCTGCGCAGGCCGACCTGCACGACGGGCGAGCTCGTGCGGCGGGCCGCTGCCTCCTGTGAAGCGCGGGCGCGCGGCGGGCAGCTGGGACCCCCTTGGCCCCCACGGCCAAACACGGATCGCAAGCGGGTCGCAGGAGGAGGGCGCGAGGCGGAGGAGGCTGAGGAGGAGGAGGAGGAGGAAGGAGGAGGAGAGGGAAGGAGGAGGAGGAGGAGGAGGAGGAGGAGGAGGAGGAGGAGGAGGAGGAAAGAGGAGGAGGAGGGGGGGGGGGGGGTGGGGGGGGGGAGGGGGGAGGTGAAGGAGGGGGGTGGGAGGAGGGCCAGCTGGCCAAGAGAGGGCCTCGAGGTGCACCCGCGGCCGAGGCTGGAGGGAGGCCCGGGTGAGGCGCACGGCAACAGGGGAGGGGGGCCCGCGGGCTCGGCTCGTGGCGCGTCGTGTGTCGAGCGGTGCTGCGGTGGCATGGAGGGGGGGGGGCCCGTGGGGGGGCCACGTGCGAGCCCTTCCCCGGCCGCCCACGGTGTCTTTGGGGGGGGGGCTTGCCGTCGCTCGGACGTCCATTTCCCGGGCAGTTTTCGGTGTCGTGCGTGTTTTTGTTTGCTCGATGGTCCAGGATGGTCCTCGATGGTTCGCGCCGAGGAAAAATGCACACGTCCGAGCGATGCCAAGGGGATGGTGGGGGTTCACTTTGCTCGGGCGGGGGCTGACCCCACCCTCGCCCTCAGAAATCGGGGGGGGGGGGGGTCGGGGTAGGGCTTGCGCGTGGCCCCCTACAGGAATCGCAGCGTGCGTGGGCAGCGTGCTTGCCAGAATCGCCTGTCCCTGCGCGCGAACGTCCGAAGAGAAACAGACTTGTGCTCAAAATCTCATTCTGGCCCCAACCGACCAGGTATGGCAAACCAAACACGGTTGTTGGAAGAGGCGAGGGAGAAGAGGATCATGACGAGGATGATGAAAACAAGGCGCTCACCACGGCGCTCACTGTGGGGCCACTTGGCCGCGAAAGTATCTTGTGGGGGGAACGAGGGAGGGAGGGACCAGTGACCATCACAGGCTATGAGGGAAGGCGAAGGTTAGGTCGACCCGACCCTAACCGAAACCATGACGGTACATCCGATCTCCACTTGCGCTCTCTTCGGCCTGCCTCTCGGCTCCCTCCCTGAGGAGCTGGGCAGTAGTACTATGTCCGCGGTTTGAGGGGGTGCCAGGCGGCAAGGCAGCCAGGCAGGTTTCAGAATGACCGATTGGCCTTACGACGGCAGGGATCAGGACCAAGTCGGTTACAGTAGAGGCCCGCGTTCCAAAATCCAGCCTTTTCCAAAACAAAGGCGATGCAACGCGGGGAACAGGACCGCCATTTTCAGCGGTTGTCCACAGATATCTTGGATCAGAGCCCTGGGCTGATATCCATCCACCTACATTGTCCTCGCCATGGGCTTGTAGGCCCAAGTCGCCCCCATGAAAATTGAGGGATATGTGCCCCTTTGCAGACTTGGCTGCGCAGCCATGCGCTTCGCAAAACAAAGAAGGAAGAGGATGATGAGAAGGAACTGTGAGGCATGAGGAGGTGGAAGGGGGAACAGAGGAGAGGGTGGCATGGAGGGCGAGCTCAAAAGACGCAAGAGAGGGAAGCAGGACGAGGGGGGGATGAAGGAAGAACGTAGCCAGGGAATCTTCGGGTTGGGCGGCAGGTAGCGAACAGACAGGGTCGGACGGGAGGCTCGATCGTCGGAACGGCCAGCGGCATGGATCACGGTCGTGTTGACCACCCCTCGGGCGCCATGTCAGAGACAAGTGGGTCTGTGATTGCGGTCGCAGCGGCAGCGAAAACGACGGCGACGAGGAAATCTAGGATGGCAAACTAGCAGATGGCTTGGAGGACGGGGAGAAGGGAAGCGACGACGAAGATCAAGGGGAAAGGACGTGAAGCAAGACACAGCACGAATGTGGACGAGAAGGCGAGAGGATTTGGGTTTTCGGGAGCATGCTAGCATCTTGCGATTGCAATACGCACGCTCAAAGCAATCGTCGGACTGTTCGAAACGAAAGTGGTCGTCGGACTGTTCGAAACGAAAGTGGCACAGTTGCGCAACTATATACAAGACGCCGTGCTGCAATACACGCGCACACAAAGACTCCGAGGAGGGCCCTTCACTCACGAACGGGCAGTCGCATCCGACAGGCGGCGGCACGAGTCTCTCCCTTACTTCCCTGCCCCTTCCTAGTGCATGCTACCTCCCTACCCACTTCCACTGAGACTGGCCCCGAACAGGATGGGTTCAGCCACCAACGGTGGCCAACTCGCTCAACTCAGGAGGCAGAGTGTGATCTAGGCGTGCGTCCCACAAGCAGCTGGAAGCGCGTGCGCACACGAGAAGCAACGCAGGGACGGTCCATCGGCTACGCTGCACCTGTACTCGCCAGCCGATTCAAGCCCCCGCCACGGCAGGTCACGTTCGGAAGAACTGATCCGAGCCTGCGAAAACAGACAACATAGCGACGGCCACGCACGGCAAACACATGGTGTTGCCAGCCATCCTTACCCCGTGGAGGGAATTGGGTACGCCTGCGGGCTTGCGCGGGAAGCCCTGAAACTTGAAAAGCTCATCCACTGTGATGTAGCGATGGATGCTCAACGAATCAGTGTCGGTGCCCTCACCGAGGGCGAAAGCGAAGATATAGCGGCTCCTCGTGGTCACGCACATCATTTTGTCGTCGGCCCTGTATTGCAAACCGCGGACCG